ACAGCTTCCATTCATTCTTTGCACCCTAGTTTTAGAGCGGAAAGGCGGGTTACGAACTTGTCGTCAACGGAAATCTCTTCTTTTGGATGATGAGACACGGACACCTACTTTAGCCCCGTCTTAACCCTGCTGTTCGCATAAGCCTACATAAACCCTACCCTGGGTGGCGGCGTGCGCCACATGGTGGCGCACGCGAAAAATACACTGGCCGTCCGTTATGGGTTAAAACTCGATGGTTCAGTGGATTTATATATGATGAGAGAGTAGTAAGAAAGCGTGAGCACGAAACAGTTTATTCAGCCAAGCTATATGGAGTGAGAATCGTATGTTGTCAACTTTGTACAATAGGGTCCGCCCCCGCCAGACGTAAGGCCGAGAGGGGATCATCGCCTGCGATGCGCAGGCGATGATAAAAGGTATTTAGAAGAAACCAATTTTGAAATCAAGAACTGAATATATTTCTTTCCGACTTACACGGAGACGGGGAGATTTGAACTCCCGTCGCAGGATTCAGAGTCCTGAGTGCTAAGCACTACACCACGGGACCTCCATATCAGATACAGGTTCGCGAGGCCCTAATCTGAAGGTGTGTAGCGGTATGTGAGTATAAATACAAAGTTAGGCTATACATATTTATTACTTCAATATCATAGATAATAGAGAGGGTCGTGGGGAGGGATCGAGCATGGTCAGGCTTGGACCATCACTGCTCTTCCCCGTTGCCGTGCGTCGGCCTCGTGGTCTCGGGCCACGCCCATCGAGTGGAGACGTGGACTCGACAGTCCATATGTTGAAAGTAGCAGTAAGTCCCATGTAAGTTCATTAGTAAGCAGAAGCAGTAATCCATACAAAAAAGAAAAGTTTTGAGCTAAACAAGCGCAAGTGAAAGCAAAACGGCAAAAAATGGAAAAATGTATTGAAATTAGGATTATCGATCGGAAGGCGCCGACTGCGCGCCAAGTACGCATCGTGCGCCAGAGCGCGTGTTGACGCTTTTCACTCTCCCCGCGCAGTCCGCACGGTCCGTACGGACCGCAAACTATGAAAGCAGTCTAAACGAAGATCCCCGTGATGCCCGAAATGTTTTAGTCGTTGGCGTGAAGTGCGGTGTAGGTGCGCATTTCTTGCATCACACATTTTATCTAACGCCCAGGGGTAAGGTAGAGGTTTGCCAACCTACTGAAGTTAACCACCCCTTCAAGAAGCGAGAAAGTGTCGGGTGCAGACCAAACACCACAACTGACGACGGCCTCCAAGTAAATCTGGGGCGGTATTCAATCCTTCCCCCAGGGGGATATATCCCCCTCCTCTGATTCAATCCTCTGGGGGGACAAAAAAGGGTTGCGTCATAGGACCTAGCATACCTCTGTGTTTCTACCTGCCAGACAGTTAGAGCAGCGCTACTACCCTCCACTGATGAAGCACTCTTTCCCCTGAGGGGTCGCGCTGCTCTAACTGTCTGGCAGGTAGAAACACAGAGGTATGGAGGTACTTGAACGCAACCCTTTTTTGTCTGCCCCAGAGGACCGTATGGCGGTCTGCGCTCTTCATCTTTCAGCGCGCTACCCAATGCGATCTACAATTCAAATTTTGCCACAAGTGCACTGGCTCACCCACGTTCGGTTTCGATCCCTTACAGGGATTAGTCTAAGTGGCTCTAATCTCTTGTGATTTTGGAGCCGGCGCAGGCGCATTCTCTGGTGTCTGTGCTCCTCCCGCCATTTCGATGGCAGGACCACGAGTGCAAGTAGTCGTAAACCGCACAGAGGTGATGCGGAAGGTGTTGGAGCAGCTTTTTTGTCCCCCAGAGATGATAAATCTGGTTAGGGGATTATGTCATAGTGATAGCTGATTTCTGGTAAATGATAGTTGTAATTAGTGACAATCGATAGAATACAACTGCAACAGGCTAATCATTTCATTGGCAGAAAACATTAACATTTTGTGAAGGCCGTCGTCACTTGTGGTGCATGGTCTGCACCCGACACTTTCTCGCTTTTTGAAGGGGAGTGTACATTCTTTTCTTACCACCAGCCGTACATCCGTCGTTCACCATCGCATGAGCATCCACAACCGAATATGTGTGTACAGTATTCATTCGTTGCATACTCACAAGTTTAATTGCAGGCAGGGTGGTGAGAAAAGGGTTTTGGTATACTTATCCAACCTGGCATTGTGCTAACATTATTATGGATTCCGACAACGATGGAACATCAACTGAGTCTGTCTGCTCTTCTATCGGTACAGTTGATAGCTCGTTGGAACTGACCGATAGCTCACTCCTCTCTGACAAGGAAAGCAAGTGAGTTAGCAGTTGAATTACACTGTATTTTTTTCAGACTGCTAGGAAATCAGGAATTTAGAGAATAAGTTGTCAAAGTAGCGGCAAAGTTCTACTTTTTATGCCTATTTTATTTCTATGCTCATCATTTAGTATGAACCTCGTCGTCACGAAAACGTGGATGTGCAACGTTCCTTGACAAACATTCAAATTGGTGGAAGTATATAAATACTATTATTATTGGTACAGTTGCACGGGTGTGGTTCACTAGGACAGAAGCGACTTTTTCGCGTTTCGCAGCGCGAAACATTTTTCGCTGCAGGAACCTCAGGTCCACCGCTGATCATGAGTGGACCTGAGTTCCTGCAGCGAAAAATGTTTCGCGCTGAAACGCGAAAAAGTCGCTTTCTGTCCTAGTGAACCACACCCCAGTTGCACAATTACAACCCTAGAAGAATCAGAAAATTTCATTTTGGGAAACTTCGTCCAAAGGGGTTTTCCAGTATCCTGATCACGAATAAGAAATTCTTTCCTCTGTACTTTCTTCTCTGTTTCTCTATGGTTTTTAGGGTGTGGTTCACTGGGACAGAAAGTGACTTTTTCGCGTTTCGCAGCGCGAAAATTTTTCGCTGCAGGAACTCCAGGTCCACTCATGATCAGCGGTGGACCTGAGGTTCCTGCAGCGAAAAATGTTTCGCGCTGCGAAACGCGAAAAAGTCGCTTTCTGTCCTAGTGGCCGATGTCAGACTTTGCGATTGGAGCGATTTTGCACCAATTGTAGGAGCGGCGGATCGCTCAAGAGAGAGCGATTCTTGGCAGCACAATTAAGACAAATGTCAGGATGTCGGCAGATGCGCTCAGAGAAGCCGACGGGAGCATTCCACTCCAGACGACTTTAACGACGAGCAGCGCGCCGTGTGTTTCGTTATTGTGGGGGTAAAGCTCCCGTCGCTCGCATCGCGTCAGCGATCCGTCGCTCCTGCAATTGGTGCAAATCGCAAAGTCTGACATCGGCCAGTGAGCCACACCGTGGTTTTCATCAGCGCTTTCTCCGGAAACGATCGGAAACCAGTACTACAATCTCAGCAGTCAGCGATGGAAGCAACACAAGCTGTGCAAATGCCGTAACACAAAAGCTTGGTGAAAAAGTAGTCATGTAGGCGTTCCAGCAGTAGCAAATGGAATTAAGCATCATATTTGCCATTTAGTCTGCTGCTACTACCGCAGCTTATCCGTATCACTACTTCTTACCAGTCTTTTATTCCATACACTATGGACAGCCAGGTTTTTTACTGGCAGCCATGGTCGATTAACCGCTTGAAACATGCATGTAGATAAACCTATCAAAATGATTATTGACTATTCAGACTGTTTCCATGGCCCTCAGTGGATACTACCACTATAGTTGAGGTCGATTTTGGTTCGCTTTCGAGTAGTTATGGTCCTCCACTTTTTATTTGTTTTTACAAAGACGTTTGTGGAAATAACGTTTCACGAATTGGAGGTTAGTTTATTTTGGAAGGTATCTTCTAATAAGTGCAATCATTATTTTCATCATCATTCTCCTTTAAGATTTCTATGATGTTCCTCTCAAAGAAGCTGTTAAAGCATTAAATGCTCAACCCAATTATGTACAAAGTAACAACTTAATCGTCAGATTTGATTCGTGCCGCGAGGAAGATATTGTGGCTATTGTCGTAAGTCAACTAGGAAGTGAATCTTTCATGTTTAAAATTCTCAATCACCATTTTCAGCCTATTCTCAGACTGATACTCTTTCGTTGTAAAATAGGCTGTGATACTTTTGAATGGAAGCGCTGTGCCCTTTTAATGGTTGACTACAAATTTGCTGTAAAGGTTGTTGAAGTTCTGGTCGAGTTCACGGATAGGTTAGCTGCTATTAATATTCTTTTTCTTCCAAAAGAAAAAAGACATCGTGTTTGCTTTTGAAGGGTCTTCTTTTTATGTTCCACGCATTCTATTCTGTTCATAATTGCAATGGTATTGGAGTGCGATTTAAAAAAATGGTTTGCGTGAGCCACCGGATGCAAATCTAGTCTCTAAGACGTGTCTAAGATCAATTCATCGACCCGGCAGTATGTAAGACCTAAATAAATTGAATAAAATCGACCAGTGATGGCAAGTAGTGTGACCTATGCGAATCACGACGCCTACCTTTTGCGATGTGCCATATGCGATGCAAAATCGCAAGATCGTAAACTATGGCCCGTAGACCATAGGCCACGGGCACTAATAAGCCAGGCTGTCCTGACTTTCGAAAGATCCTCCGCAGTAAAGAGGAAAGAAGCTTGGAAAAGGCTTCAAAGAAAATAAAGTCTCAGCTAGAGAAAACAAGGAGGAAATGAGTTGGCTAGCTTTTCGAATGGGTGAGCTGTATGCTACGTCGCAGGGCATCTTGCAAAATCTTAGTGACGGCAAAGGATTTTCAGCACTACATGTAAAGTTTTTCGGGAATTGTTCACCTGCTCAATACTTTTGAATGGCAGTTGTTTAACATTAGGAGTGGGTGGGTTAATAAGGAAAATACATTGACGATATCCAATCACTCTTGGTCGATTGTTTTGATGGATACCTCTTCTTTCTTGTAAGTTATAAGTTATAAGTCTTCTTCAACATGCTGGGTTTTACAAAGAGAAGTGTGTCGTAATGAAATGTTTTCAATGATGTTCGATCTGTCTAGCTTATCAGGAGTTACAGTAATGGAAGTTTGACCGAAATGACGTGTTAAGGCCATGAAAAGGGAAATTTTACTTAATTTCCCTTTAGTGGTTCCAAAATTAATTTGGACGTGGTTGTTTCAGTAAAAACACATATCTTCCCATACGAATAGGTTTGTATTCACTTCTATTATTCCTTTTTATCAACATGTCTACGTTATTGAAAAGAAAACGAGGAATGAATCGAACAGACATATCCGTAAGGTCTGGAAAATGTCTGCCAAACTAAAGAATATTTGACCTTTCTGTGAGCCATGTGGTTTTTAAGTATGCTAATGTATGACCTATAGAATGAGTACAAAGACCTTAGGAATAAGTCGCACAAGCGCAAGAAAAAGGGATGACTTGGGTGGGACGCGTTACCGCGTCACAATGTCCCACGAGGTGCGCAAAGTGGGACGCGTTACCGCGTCACGCTGTCGTCAACGTTTAAAGAAATCTATGTGAGCCAACATGTGTCTAGGCCGATGGAGGCTGAAATACAGTGACCAGTAACGGAATTCTTCAGAATCATGGCCTGCCAATCGATATCGATTGGGGAAATCGCTTTGGAGCAGTGGCCGATGTCAGACTTTGCGATTGGAGCGATTTTGCACCAATCGCAAAGTCCCGAGTGTGTCTCACGAGGATAATTGGGAGAGTGAAAAAGCTGAACAGATGGCTACCGCATTGGCTACCCGATGCAGCAGCAAAACCGTATTCCTAAGGTGTCGTTTCCACCCATTTTACGTAACGAAAACAACGAATATTAGGAAAGCATTGCAATCTAAAATGGAAAATGGACTGTTCACGAATATAGCAAGCCATCCCTTCACAAGCTGGACCGCGATGAATCCTTCAAAAAGTTATCTAAAGCCGAAATTGTAGTAGGTCAATGTTGAGCTGAACATTCGGCGGTCTCCCACGGGACTGATGCACCACACCTCTTGGGAACCAGGTGAATTTGACACAACACCAATGTCTCTCCAGCATACCGATGAGATGCTCTAGAAACACCAACTTCGTCAACCGAGAGAAATGAAACAACCCTCCTTCATGGTGGCGCTCAGCCACATGTCCCATAAACGACCTCGCAAAGATTGGACAAACTGGCATACGAAGCTTTGCTCAACACGTCGTACTCATTGGACCTCTCGCTCACCAATAACACTTTTTCCAACCATCCCGACAGCTTCTTGAGCAAGAAATACTTCAGTGTTCAAAGTGATCTGGAAACGACGTTCGATGATTTCATCGCCTACAGAAGCGCTCATTGTCACATGGGCGGGACAGTTGAGTGTGCATCTTGTTAAGAAAAATATGTAGTTTTGAATAGTTTTTGTTACGATCGAAAATGTTGAATTTGAGTGGAGATATGCTTCTTCAAAAATAGAGGTTGAAAAACCCGCATTACTTTCCGAACAACCTATTATCGGAATATCGCAATCTACTACTCTCCAGCGATTTCAATCGATACGTATCTAATCTTGTCAGCGCAATCTCCTACTCTACTACTATCCTAATCTCCCCGTCAATACATATGTTTTTCATTGTCGCGTACTATCCTAATCTCCGGAGTCGCGAACTATGAACGCGCCCTAATATTCGAGTGCTATGAACGCGGCCTTAGCGAATTACAGCATTGTATCTGTAGATTAGTAAAAGCTGAAGTTTTGTGGGATCTCGCGGTATTGAGCGATATCGATCGAAAGTTCATATGTGGAATGATCAAGCATTAAATGATATGCAACAGAGTTGTATGACCAGCATGCACTTATGGACCAAGATATAATCCGTGTCAAATCTAGCTCGGAACAGCTAGGTTTTCCATTTCTACAGGCCACATGCGCAGTCTCGCGTCAGCATGATTATGACTGAGGGCCCTATGCGTGGCGCATGAAAGAAAAACGTATTGAACAAAGTCAAAAGCTAAATCTCTCCATGCTAAGTGGGAAAAAAATGCCCTCTGATTGTGCATTCAACAAAATTTGTGGCCACTCTTCTAACCAAAATTCCTTACCAATCATTTTTGTGCTGGTTTGTTCAGGATAGCGGAATTGAATATT